TTTGCCTTGTCCATGGCGCCTTGGTTCGTTAGTGGCATTGTGGGTTGTGTGCGCATTCTATGCCAGTTGTTTAGAGGAATATGATTGGCTGATGTACTGTACTGTCCACTCCAAGTTCAAGTTGCGTTTGATTTTCAAAACCAAAAGCTCCTCGCGAGGAGCTTTTGGTGACGAAAAGCACTTTTCAAAACGAAAATCAAAGTTTTTTCTAAACTGACTCTCCCTAATGTACTTTGTGATCCTGTCGTACATTATACAATGTCAAGTACTTGATTGTAGCATCTCTACATAGTCTTAACTACCTATGCGTCGGCTGAAGCGAGTCGGAGCATGTTGGTGTGAGTGGAGCAAACCTCAATAGAGCAATTTGATTGGCTCGGAAAGTAGTCAGATGTCTGCGGACTTCGAGGCCAAAAGTGTGACGCCTCACTTTTCAGATCTGTTTCCGAGCAAAGTCTGCAAGCTTCGAAGTTCGAATCGAAGTTTAAGTCTGGAAAGTCAAGATTTCGCACTTGCTAAAAGTCTCTATTCACTGTCAGTACAGTGCGCGCCATGTGGATAGGACACCCTGGTTGCATAGAGGCAACGTGAGATAAAATGCACGTTAAGAGAAACAAAATATACCACACGAACGCATTTGATTGGTCCGGTTGTTTGGCGCTTGTTTCAGGTACACTGGCCGAGTTATGCCGCGAAAATTGAATTTGAGGTGCGACAACCGGATAGGACACCTCAGTTTCAAGCCCAGTCTGAGCTGCTCCCAGGCAATCCTTGCACGGCTAAGGAGTAAACGTCAATAAAAGACCATTCGACCTATCTTGACTTGCCTTTCCAAGTACAACTGCCATGGGAAGAGCCGGCCAACTCACCGAGTACGAGCAAGGCAGTGCCTTAGCGTTTTCGAAGGCTGGATGGTCGATCAAACGCATCGCCGCCACCCTTGGCCGCTCCAGAAACGTGGTAGCAAGCTCTATACTGCCACCCGAGACCTACGGGACCAAATATGTAAGTCGAAAGTCCACGAAAGTGTCAGAACGAGCACGCCGTCAAATCGTCAAGCATGCCTCGACGACAGGATGCTCCGCCAGGCAGCTCAAATCATACCTGCCGTTGGAAGTGTCGCTCCGCACGTACCAACGCATCTTGAACCAAGCCGCTTTCCTACAATACACCAAGCTTCAGCATGCACCGAAGCTTCAACAACGCCACAAAGACGCAAGACTCAAGTACGCCGAAGCAACCTCACCAATCCAACTGACTGGGACATCGTGGTGTGGTCGGACGAAAAGAAGTTCAACCTCGACGGTCCAGATGGTTTCCAGTACTACTGGTACGACCTTCGCCACGAAAAAGACCAGTTTTTTACCCGGCACAGCGGCGATGGCAGTTGCATGATTTGAGCCGCATTTTCATGTCACGGGAAGTCGGACATCGCCTTTCTAGACGGCTCACAGACAGCCGACAAGTACATTGACACGTTGTCGAACTACCTGTTCTCATTTGGTCATGAGATGTTTGGCGGAAGTTTTGTATTTATGCAAGACAACGCTAGCATTCATTGTTCCAAGGTGGTTATGGAGTTTTTGGACGAGCAAGATATTGTCATTTTTGGTCATCCTGCGTTGTTGCCTGATTTAAACCCTATCGAAAACGTTTGGGGTGTGCTGGCTCGCCAAGTTTACCTTAATGGTAAACAATTTGACTCTGTGGCTGAGCTAAAGGTCGCCATCAAGCGTGAGTGGGAAAAATTTTCCCAAAACTACTTGCAGGAGCTGATCAGGTCGATGCCAAAGCGCTGTGTGCATGTTATCTAAGCCAAAGGAGGCAAAACAAAGTACTAGTATTAAATACACAATTTGGTGCTTTGAGGACAGATTTCGTTGTTACTTTTGGGGTGTCCTATCCAAATGTCGCACCCCAAATTCCTGTTTCATGTCATAATTTGCTCAGTATTTATTAGAATGGACTGCATCTTGTGTCAAACGATCTAGCTTTAGCTGCCACTTGAATTTATCCGCCGTGTGGCAGCAACAGAGCACAAATGCCATCGCCTCATTGATAAAACAGGGATGTCCTGTCCATGTGGCGCGCACTGTAGTACACACAAAAATGAGTTGATTACTCGGAGTACATTTCAGAAAGCAAAACGAAAACTTCTATACTCAAGTCAAGACTAAAGATACGGACACATATGGTGCACGTCATCTATAAACAACCAACTTTTCCCAAAAATTTCTGACTTCTATTTCATATTCATTACTCAATTTTTCAGCAAATTGAGACGTAGAATCGACAGATCTCAATGTGGTGAAGGAATTCAGATTCAAATTTGGTGATGAATTGATCCAGAAATAGATATTTAACCTAGCGGTATTTTACATGGGAGCTAGGATATTTGGCCATAGGGGTGGCCGCTCAAATGTATCTTGATTTTTGTATGTGACTCTTATCCGTATTTAATATCCGGAGGCAGTTGGGACCTTTAACCTCCCACTCCAGTGATAAAACGCATGAAATCGGCATTTAACGTATCTGGAATTTGGGTTTAACTACATTAATTGCACGTTAAATAATAAAACCTTCACTCTTCAATTTGGCCAGTTGGAAGTTTTTAGATGAAGTGCACCATATGAAATCAATCCTAAAACCAGAATGATGATCATAATTTGAGCGGCAAATCAAGGCGCGCATTGCTTGTTTTCATGCGAGCACTCACATCGGACCAGCGCCGTGCCGTTGTGACCACCTCCTCTTGCGCGTTGTCCAAGCACCGTGCAAACTACAGCACGGTGTTATCATCTGATCCTTGGCAAGAATCGCCACACCATTGCCGGCATCTGGAGCCGCGCTACAAGTGTACTGTAACGTGTCCCTTGGTGGCGAGGGTTTGCTACGTCTCAGATGAAATGCAATGACATGACCAGTCTCAAAAAGGGTCTCGTTGAAGTACACGGACTTGCCAGCACGCATTCGTGCCGTACCTCGGAGTAATAAATAATTGTAGGTTGGACTAACTGTAAAAGTACAAATTCTATATTACCTTCAGTATCGCCGAGCAATATTAATATAGACATAACTTTTATATTATTGTACAATTCATTCGTCCTTCAACTTTTTTGAAATGACAAGATTAGTGTAGGTACATCAGATGGTTCAAATTGACATGTGAAAAGTTTGCGCTTTGGCAGTCATCAACTTGCATCATACCAGTACAGGCCAGTCGACGACGTGTAAGATGCGCTGGGCAGACTCGAAGCTCGCGGTGGCGCTACTTGTTCTCATTCTGTCGCGCAGCGTGGACCGCGTCTACTACACGTAAGTGTCCTGGCCAGGCACGCAACTCGTCCGTGTCTACCGGTACCGTAGGCGCATTACGTTCGACTACAACGAATTCCTGTGGTACTTCTCTAACATCATTTGCTCCATTGCGTACCTTGTCATATTCTGGCCTGTGGTATGGTACAAGATGTGGTTCACCAGTGCGTAGTACTTCCCTTCTCCACCATTCCATTCACCATCGCGTCGTTTAACTCGTTTGATAGACGAAATCACGCCGGAAATGACGTCGTTCCCGCACTACAAGTTTGCCATCATGGGTCTCTTCGACACGTTGTACAATCTGCTCACAGCCTTCCCTACGCCGCACATAGGGTACACTTCCATGCTCCAAAACGCTCTAACGCAGTAGCATTAGGGGCAACATGTCGAACGCGCTGGGCCAGCTCAACCTCCCATTCAACATGCTCCTCTCGGCCATCCTACTCTCCACGCGATACAAGCGATCGCATTACATGGGCGCGGTACTCGTCCTGTACGGCGCACTGGTCACGATGATCCCTGTGTTCCGCGGCGAAACCGCGGCCAACATGCCGGATCCGTCCGTGTTTTGGATCCTCTTTTACATCATCGCGTTGCTGCCTGGCGTGGGATCCAACGGTGCGTTCGTCCGTTCGTAGTCTGTCGCTCGTTCGTGTTGTCCCACTGCCTTTGAGGGACTCTAGTGTACAAAGAAATCGGGTTGAAAGACGTGGACCTGGACATTTGGTACGCCAATGCATGGATCTGCACGTACCAGCTCCTGTGGGGGGCGTTTACGATTTGGACCATCCAGGTACGTAGGTGCACAAGTCGTTGAACCGAGGGACGTTTCGGACTGTGTGGTGGGTAGCTCCCTGCGTTTTCGGACCCGCCCGTGTCGTGGCAAGAGTTCCCTTCGTACATTGCGCTAGCGCACAACTGTTTCCTCGGGTACCCCGTGACCTTCAACGGCTCTGACTTGCCCTGTGGCAATGGCGTGTTCCTTACCTTCTTGTGGTACATCCTGTTCAACTGCGTGTACAACCAAGTACGTTCAATTCAACCATCCGTTATCTAGTGGTGGTACAAATGTGCAATGGGGATGTGTTTGCTGAGTTTCTTGGCAGATCATGATGTACGTGTTCAAGGAAGGCAGTTCGGTGCTGTTTGTCGTGTCGTCGGCCGTGTGCCTTCCGCTGACTGACATGATGTACATGGTGCCGTTCCTGGCCGGGCCCAAGGCGTCCCAGACGTTCACCATCTACGACGGGTTTGCGCTCTTCGTGCTCATCATGGGCATGCTCGTGTACCACTCGGAGAAGGAGGAGCGCGGAGACGCGGCCACGCAGAAGTCGCCCATGTTCTTGTCGCCTAGCATGCGCAAGGCGCAGTTGATGCGACGACGAAAGGCCAGACCTATGACGACGTTCCGGTCTGCTGTGCTTAAGTACGGTACCGCCAAGGACACCAACAGTGTGGTCTAGTGTCAGCTACATAAATAGTACTATATCTGAACTATCCTCAGATGATAAGTCCTGTAGCAGGCTACCGTGGACGATTTTGGGATATTTGTGGATACAATGGAATGGCTATTATACTGTAGTGGCCCTTGCGTGAGTTATACCTATGGACGTCGGAGGTCCGCTTGATTGCCTGGCCTTGCGTTTAGATCGACCCAACCACGTTTATGCAGAACTCCCGACACCATTATTGTCGTCCTTGTCATTACTGTGGAAATGGCGATTCCGGGGAGGACAGTACTGCACAACGATGGATGGCGAAGTTAACGTTATGCCAAGGATGATTGAATCATCTGCCATGCTCTTCGCCACTGCCTGTACTGGTTGGTGACTTGGACTTCATCGCGAAATCATCACGACTTGCACTAATATCAATGCCGTGGAGCGTAATTAACTGTAAATTTACTACCGCAATGTAGTTGTCACAACTACCGGTATTTAACGATTACTACACCATTTTGCAGTTAAGTTGAACGAATGCCCGATATATTTGGTGGTGTGCCCGATATAATTAGCCATGTGCCCATTTAATTTGGCACAAGGTCGATGTAATTGGCCATCTGCCCGATGAATTATGTCGTCTGCCCGATGAAAATGGAATACAGTACTGTAACTCAAACAATTATATTCCTAGGATTGCAAATCTGTTTTGGTCCAAACATCATGTGGCTGAAGTTCGGTAGGAAAACGCACGAAGGCAAGAATTCGAAATTTATACTTGAATAAAGTATAGTGTAAGTTCATATTGCGCTTTCGAGTGAAATATCGTGTTGTGGCGTGGTTTCTCGTTGGAATTTAAATCGATTTGATTGGCTACCTCAGATGAGCTCAAAATTATTAGCCAATCAAAACCTTCTCAATGAAATTCAACCAATCAGATCGATTGTGGATCGGTTTGGTCGGCGCGATTCGATTGCACCCCCTCCCCAAATTTGTATCAAATCGACAATAATGTGCGCGCTTTACTCCAACACTTTGAATGCTCATTATTCGAATCGCCAAGGAACGCACAGCATGGACGTAGCTAACTCTGGTAATAATAATGTCAATTGAAGTATTGCCCGTATACTTCAACGTTTCGTCCATACTTCAACCTCCGTCCAAAATTTGAATCTGTCGCGCGCAGAGCTCATTTTTCGATATACCTCAAGGTACGCACCCTCGATGAACGCGCGGAGGCCATGGGCAACATGAGCGTTGGTATGTGACGTCACAGCAACGATGCTGCATGTGTCGTTTAACGACCATTTCTATATTGAATTGACTTTTTATTGCGTGATTTCCATTTTCATCAGGCACACGACACAATTCTTCGGGCAGACGGGTCATTGCTTGCCAAATTAAACGGGCACATGGCTAAATACTGTATATCGGGCACACCACCAAATATATCGGGCACACGGCCAAATATATCGGGCATTCGTCCAACTTGAGGTGTATTAATAGTGTTTTATTTGAAGACTCAAATACTTCGAAGTAACTTACTCCTGTTTTTAAAATGCGTTTCGATTAAGTATGTTCCATTAGGTGCTTCATGTAGTCCCGTCACGAAATACTACTATATTGGATATCACGAAATATACTGGCAGTGCACGAAATATACTGGCAGTGCACGAAATATAATGAGTGAATTCGACGTTCCCACGAAACTAAATGCCGAAGTCGCGACATATAACTCCACAACTTTAAATGGGATTCCACGAAATATACCCGATATTTTTCGAAATTAACCGCAAAAAGGGTAAAGTAGGATTAATACGTACCAGTATACTTCACATGTCAGAAAGTGTTCAATTCCAGGAAAAAAAACCCTCACGGACTGCACGTTAAACTCCTGACATATATAGTTAACGTGAGGGCAAAAGTTATGGGAGTCACAAATCTTGCATTCGCGTTGTATGGCCCTATTTTACCTATGTACTTCCATTTTGGCATTGCTGCCTGCTTTCAGCCGAGACCAGCATGCAAATGGTGTCTGCTGGGATGGGATACCCCACACACTTCATGGAAGGAAGTCGATCGAACTAGCTAGCGTATATTGAACATGGGGATGACTGGCTTATGCAGTTTCGGCGCTCTTGGTGGCTTCGGCGTTGGACGCGAGTTCCTTGGCGGCGGCGGCCTCCTTGTAGGCGATCTTACGCGCTTTGGACTTGCTGATGGGGACCGATGCCGGGTCGAATTCACGCAAGATCACGGTCAAATGGCTGTGTCCTCGGTGCTTGACACCAGTGTTGCCTGTTGAAGATATCGATGAGACCAATTTTCACAAGTTGGAACGTCATACCTCGCCCCATAAACTTCACTCGCTTCAAGAACATGCCCTTAGTGACGAAGGCTTGCTCAACCTTCAACGCGCTCGGTTCGATGCCGTAGTAGATGTCTGCCAAGTTGACAGCGTTTTGAATCGTCTTCTTGACAATCGTGGACTTGCGCTTCTGCGAGAATTGCATCTGGATCAACGCTTCCGGGGCTGTGAGACCACGGATTTGCTGCGCCAGGTAGGACAACTTGCGGGGACTCTGGCGAATTTCCTTCTTCACCGTCTTCACCGATCGAAACTCGACCGCATCTTCGATCGCAGGCAGCGAAATTTCCTCGGTGGCTTCCGTGGACATGCAGCGCGTCGCGGAGAACACGCTTTGGAATCCCGCGGGAAGAACCGACGACGACTTGGGGGCGAGGGACATACCCGCCATGCTACGGGCCAAGCAAAAGCGGCTCAACATCGCGACGGATCGATCGGCTCGGGCAAAACTGAAGTTGCCCAAATCAAATGGTGGAGAATGCGTGGCCGTCCGGATATGCATCCGGATTTTCAGGAAGATTAAAAGAGCGTGTTGTTTGTATGTACGGCGTTGTATTTTATTCCTAAAATAAACGCACCGGATTGGATTATTCAGTGCGTAGATGAAGCATCGGGTGCGTGTATGGACTTTTAGCCAATGAATGTTTGGTATGTACACTTCATAGTTTGGATTCGTGAAAATAAGATTTTATTTTAACCAATCGCGCAAGGCAAAACCATTGGTCCGGTCGGGACGGTTTTGGATGTTGAAGCGAAGGGAATCCATTCATTTGGAGTTCTCAATTTGCCGCCGCCAAGATGAGTACGTCGTTGGCGTCCCAGTTGAATGCACTCAAGGTGCATGCGACGTCTGCTCCTTCTCAGAGGAAGCTCGCGTCCTTTCTTCATGAGCCGAAGGTGGCATCGAAGATCGACATCCGCACCACATATGAACACGCGAAGCAGGCGCTCGACCACTTGTGCGGCATGGACGGTAGTTTGGATGTGTTCCACACAACGTTGCTGCATCCGAGCAAAGTGCAAGCGCAGTTTAATCGCGCACTTCTCACAAAGGACGAGAACGCCGCCGTCGACGTCGACTTGGGCCTGCTCCTTGACGCGCTGTCGCCGTACTTTCTCCTCCCGCCCACGCACCAACTCCTCGAGTACCTCATTCGACGGTACGAGATTCACACGTGGAACGTTGAACAGATCCTGGGCGCCACCTTGTGCTACCATGAGAGTCCCGTGTTTGCACGGCTTGTCACCATCTGCGACCTCAACAAGTACCCGCGGTGGGCATTCCTGGAAGCAGTCAAAGTCAACAACGTGCCTCTGCTTCGCGCGAACCTGGCCAAGCGATGCTTCACCGACCCGTCCATCGTGCGCTTCATCTACGACGCGGGTCGTCGCATCGGGGCCAAGAACCCCAAACTCATGGCGCTGTATACATTGTTGGCGATGGAAGTGCTGGATAAGTCCAAGATCAGCGACCAAATCCTGCGCTGGGTCCTGCCAAACGTGTTGGACGGCCTCCGAGACCGCACCTTCCCCGAGCACCAGCTGTCGTCGTACATGGTTGCCACCAAGTTGACGTCGAAAGCCGTGCTGGCGCACGCCGCCCGCACCCAGATCGTGTCGGCCATCGCCAAGACGGCGCTTGCACACGCTCAGCTGGATGCATTGCTCTGCCTAGTCAGCGTCGTGCAGGCGCAGCCGTTCGAAGCGCTTCCCATCGACGTGGTCAAGCACCTGTTAAACTACACAGACGTCCCGCAGCTGCTTCGGGACGCTACGGACGCGTACGACACGCGCAAGTTCCTGACGTTGTTCTTTGCCGGCATGGTGTCACTTCTTGTGGACAGTGCGAAGACATCAACGAACCAGGCTGAAACAACAGTAGAAACCACCTTGTTTGCCATCCTCGCTGAGCTCGGTCCAGACTCTGCCACGTTATTTGTAGCTCCGATCGTAGGCCACGTGCTCAAGAGTGCTAGAGTTGCCGCGTCCTCCAAGGACAAAAACGCTGTCGCTGTAGTCCTGCAGCGCGTCCTGGTTCGGCTGAGCAAGCGGTTTGCCGAGCAATTGGACGCTGGCTTGCACGCGTTGTTGTCTGCCGACGACGACGACGAAGCCAGTGCTGCGTTTTACATTGAGTTTGTAGGCCGCACGTTCGACGGCACCACCGCCGCCGTGCACGTTCCGTTGGCGCAAAGTGGTCTGTCTCTGCTGTTGTCGCTGGACCACCCGAACGCCGACATCCGACTGCACGCTGTTACAGCTGTGAAAGCCATGAACGACTCGTTCGATGAAGTGGACGCGCTCCTCCGCCGCCTCAACGACGACTCCCCTGCAGTGGTGCTGCAGGTGCTCCAGCTCAACGTGTTGCTGGTCAAGGCGACCCCCCTGGCGCTGGTGGAGGCGGTGGCGCACGCCGTATCGCAGCGGTTCGCCGATCCCCAGTTCAAAGTGGCCGTGCCTGCGCTTGTGGGGTTTGCTACGGGTCCGCTGCTGACCAAGTACCCCAAAACCCCCCGCTTGACGCCGATTGTGCTCGACATGCTGCTGCAATTCGCCCCGACCTCGGACTGGCTAGAGCCATCGACTTCGTCCGAGTCGGTGATTCCGTTTGATGCGTGGGTACAACACCTGAAGAAGCTCCATCATCCGTTTGGTCAGGCTTTGAAAGCCCCGAAAGACTTGAGCGCAGTCGTCCAAGCGTGGGGCAAGGTCCTTACCGACGACCTCGTCGACACCGTCGCGGCGTGGACGGCCCCCGCACCCTTTCGCCACGTCCGCCTGCCGTACTTGGCCCTGCAAGTATTTTTCCACAGTCCTAAGAAGCAATCGGGACGGCAATTTCTGCCACTGGCACGCACCGAATGGACGTTGCTCAACAACTCGCCAGCCAAAGTGGACCTGGCCATCCACCGCCCCGCCATTTTGCACGTGATTGAGATGATCTGCGCCAGCATGACCGCAAGCCCCGCCGACGAGGGCACGGCCTACGACGACGCGCTACACCTGCTACTGCACTCGTCGTCGCGATTCTTCACCCTCGTGCAGCCGTATCTCCACGACAAGCTGGCCAAACACAACTGGACGACGCTGCTGCACAGCCTCTGTCGCGTCGCCTCCTCTCGCGCCGACACGCAAGCCACAGCGGCGGTCCGCAGCATCACGCTGGTGTCAGTTATGCTCGAGTGCCATGGGTCGACCGCGATCAAGTTGAACGACTTGCATCAGGTGCTCACGACGGTGCTGCTGTCGCTGAATTCATCCGACGCGGCGGTGCGCAAGGTCGGAGTGCAAACACTCAAACCACTCGCCAAGGTGTCGGTCGACAAGCAGGACAAGGCCGCGCTAGCCACGTACCACAAAGCGATGGCGGCGCTCACCCAGGCCAAAACGGAGCTCGTGATGGACAGCCAGCACCTCCCGACGCTTTTGGCCACCCTTCTGGACGGCAACAAACTCGACGCCGGATGGACTAAGCAAGTGCTGGCCACGGTGCTCGTCAAGGGCGCCGATGGCGGTGCGATCCCCGCGCCCCTTCAACGCCGGGCGCGTCAAGTGCTGGAGGTGTTTGCCAAGGTGCAACTGCCGGCGCTGTGGGAGTCCGCGGTCGGCTGGTTCACGCACCGCTTGCCACTGGCTGCCCAGGCGAGCTGCTCTGATGCGGAAACTGCTATTTTGAACCACTTGCTCGGTCACTTTTTGACGACGTGGGCCACGAGTAAGGTGCCCAAGGCGGTCGTGGACGCCGTAGTGCTGACGTTGGCGACGCCGACGGGAGTGTCGGCGCTCCACAAGCACGTGGCGGCCACCATGCCTGCGACATGGTTTGCCAGTGTGGGGTCTGCCACGCAGAGTACGATCGTGGCTCATCTCGTGGCTCTCATGCGATCCGGGGAAGAGTTGAGTGAAATCTCGAGTCAGCTCGTGCCTAGGCTGCAAGTGTCGGCGGATATTGTGGCCAAATTGCTGCAGCACCAAAAGTCGCCCCACTGGGTGGCCGACGTGACGTGCGTCCTCGAAGTGCTTCCGGCGTGGCTGCCGCGGTACTCTGCGACAGAGTTGGAGAACCTCCTCACACCCCTGCAGCACATTGTCGCACACTTCAGCCAAGACAAGGTGTCTGAGTACAGCGTGCAGATGGTGCTCACGGTGCTGCACCAGACGTGCCGCCTCTTGCCGCCCGCTGCCAAGCACCCGTCCAAGAAGCACGCCGCCGCCACGACCACGTCTCATGCCAAGGTCCTTGTGGAGCTGACGATGGAAGTAGTTGAAGTCACCACTTCCCCCCAGACCCGCAACGCCGCGCTCCTGCTCGTATCGGCGCTTGTTGATCTGTACCCCGCCCAAGTGCTCACGTCGCTCGTGCCCATCTTGAGCCATGCGTCGCACCTTCACATGGACGAGTACTCGTTCCATGTGCTCCGGGAGATTGTCCAGCACGCCGTGCCATACGTGGCCAAACCATCGAGCCCCATCTCGATCCAGCAGTTCCTCCAGACGTTTGTCGACGCATTTGGGTCCATCCCGGCCGCGCGCCGACTGGATCTCTTCCACGTGGTCCTGGCCAGCTTGGATCTTCAAAATGCTAACGCTCTCGGCATGACCATCGCCCTCTTGCTCTTGACCCCCTCGACCGACGCACAGCACCCCCACGCTGCATTCTGCCACGAACTGGCCCAACTGTTTCCCCCCGAGGCCCAGATGCAAGCCCTCGTCTTCCTCGTCCACTCGACCAGCCACCTCCAAGACGACACGGACCCTGGCAAGTCGGACACCTCGGTGCTCAACGTCCAGGGCCTGTCCGATGCGAAACTAGCCGCCACGACCGCCGCGTGGCTGTCGTTCGTGCCGCACCACCTCGAACGCAAGCGCCTCCACGCGCAAATCTTGGACAAGCAGCACGGAGACAACGGGACGCTCCAAGAAGCGTACCTCCTGCTCGCCCAAGCGCTGCTCTTGTACCTGCGCCGGGGAAGCGACGACGCCCTCGGCGGGTTCGCCCTGGACGGGATGCACAACCTCCAGCGCCTTCTCACGGCCCCTGGCTTTGTGGCTGTGATTGGCGAGCTGCTGCACCACGAAGACAGCGTGATCCGGCGGCGGGCGCTGCAGCTCCTGAACGAACGCATTGAGGCGCACCAGGACTCGCTGACGACGGAAGAGGAGCTTTTGTTTGTCGACATGCTTGCCGACCTCACCGAAGTGCTGGGCGACGTCCAAGCTGCTTTGGTCTCTGATTTGCAGATGGCGCTGCTGTCTGTGGACGTGCTCACGCGGTTCTTTGCCAAGAAACACCCCAAGACGTTCCAGGCCATCCTGCCCACCGTCATCGCATGCACCACGCACACAAACGGCCACGTGTCTGGCAGTGCGTTCGTGTGCCTGTCCAACTTGACCCTCGCGCTCGGCGCTGCAGTGTTTCCCCATGTCCCGACCTTCTTTCCCACGCTGCTCTCGGCGCTCGAACAAGTGTCCTCCCATCGTCGGTCCGGTCACTCTACCGACCAAGCCGACGACTCCTCCAACACGCTGCAGCACTGCGGCATGGTTGCCCTGCGCAACTTGACGGCGAAAATCCCCCAGTTTCTGGCCCCATACCTGAACCGCATGCTGGCGCTGCTGTTCCAGCCGTCGTTGCATCCGCAAATCCAAGTGACCGCGCAAGCTACGTTGGTGTCGCTGGCCCACGGCATGGAGCTGCGAAACTTGCTGCCGGCGTTGCTCGAGCTATACCCGAGTTGCTGCCGCCACGGCAACGACTCGCTCCTCCAGCTGTTTGACCTCGTCGCCACCATCGTCGGCGGCATGGACCGCTTGGCGGTCAAGACCCACCTGAGCGGATGGATGCGCTTCTTCCTCATGGCCATGGACGTCCGCCGCACGCATCCGTTGCTGTCGGTAGAAGTGGAAGACAAACTCCGCCACGCGATCGTACAACTGGTGCTGAAACTGAGCGAGAAGCAGCTCAAGCCCCTCTTCCTCAAGTTTGTCGCGTGGGTGGACGTGGTCCTCCCGGGGCACCAAGGCCCGTCGCTCCCCCGTCAAGCCGTGTTTTACCGCCTGGTCGGACAGCTCAGCGCTCAACTGCGCAGCATTTTCGTGCCGTATTACGCGCATATTTTGCCGCAATGTGCGTCCATCGTGGCGTGGGGGCCGACGTTGAGCTCGTCGTTCTCGACTGCTCATGACGAGGAAGACGATGGCTTTTTCAAGCGACCCGCCAAGAAGCAAAAGGTCGCCAAGGAGGTGGAGGACGATACCAGCAGCTTGAAGGCCACGGTGGCCGAGTTCGTGGTGCAGGCGTTGGTTGGATGCTTCTCCCACGACTCGGAAGGGTTTATGGACAAGGAAAAGTTTGACGAGATCATGCCTGGCCTGGTGGACTTGCTGGATGTGGCAGAGTCCCAGCCGACCCTCGTGAGTCACGCGGTGACGGCGCTGGCGCAGCTGGCGTGGGCCGCCAAAAGCGATCTGCTGTGGAAGCCAATGCACCATCGCATTCTGATGAAGAGCCGCAGCGACAGCGCTGGCGTCCGGTTGGCGGCGCTGCGAGCCATCGAGCAGTGCTACACCGTCGTGGGCGAAGAGTTCTTGGCCATGCTGCCGGAAAGCATCCCGTTCTTGGCCGAGTTGCTTGAAGACACGGACGCAACCGTCGAAACGTTGTGCCACCAAGTGATCAAGCAGATCGAAGACATTTCTGGAGAAAGTTTGGACCAGTATTTGACCGCGTAGTGTCCCCGTTAACCTTATTTTAAATAGATTCCATGCACAAGTACAATCTCGGTAGATTCATTCACACAAATGTAGCAATCGTTCGCCTGTTTGAAGCTAAATGGCTGTGTGCCCGCCCACTCATCTTAGCGATTGCTGTGATACCGTAATTGTTACGGATAATACTCCAGAGTAACCGGAAATGTGGTTGAGTTATTTGTCTGAGAGTTTCAGGCCCGTTATCCGGACATTTCTAGTTACATTGTGTCGGTTTCACTTGAACGTGCATGCGCCGGTTGGGACGGCTGCCTGATGGAATCGAAGGGTGAAGTGGATCCTAATGAGCGGGAGAACCGCATCCATGCGCGACGAGGACGCATTGATACACGGAATGCCAACAAGGATGACGAGAACAAGAAGAAGAAGTCGTCGTCGACAGATGCGAAGAAGATGAATCGCGGCGCGCAGCAGATCGCAGACAGTTTGAACCAGCTCGACAAGCGCAAAGTGAGTCGACACATGACCATTCTCCATGTCTCTGACGAATGCGATGCATGCTGTAGATCACAGGGATCCAGGAAGTCACGGACATCCGCGTGCGGGCCGACGACACGGAGAACACGCGGCGCATCAACGAAGAAGACCGAAAGCAGAAGCGCATCGAAAAGCTGCAGCAAGAAGCGATCACAAGCGGATCGCGCAATGCCGCCGTGGAAATGCGATGGGCAGACTTGTACGATTACAACATGCCCCAGGAGTTGTTCAAGGTAGACGTCATGATCTTTCGTTGACTTGGTGGTTTCCAACGTGTGTGCTGGTGTTACGCAGCAATTGCAACTGCAATCCGAAGCTTGCGGCGCCATTTTAGCTTCCAAGGACGGCTTGATCAAGGACTTCCAGACCCAGCTCAAGGCCAAGGACGAGGAGTACGTGGTCGCGCTGAAGGTGCAGGCCGACGACGTCGAGACCCTCGTCGATCGCATGAGCCAGCAGTACCGCGAGATGCAGGAAGAGTACGAGCTCGAACTCGAGCAGATCGAAGATGCATTTCTCAAGGCAAGATAGATATTAGCGTACAAACATCAAGTCATGACGTGGCGTCGTCGTAGGAGCGCGACGAGCTGATCTCGACCAACAAGAGCGAAATCGACTCGCTGTTTGAAAAGCGGCGCGAGATGGAGATGACGTTCATGGAAGCCAAGCAGGCGCGGGACGAGCAGAGCCAGAAGGAGATCGAGGACCTGCGGGTGAAGGACGCCGAGGACTACAACAAGCTCAAGATCAAGCTTGAAACGGACATTCAAACCCTTGAGCAGCAGCTGGAAGAGGTCATCATGACGACAACGAGATGGAGAAGGATAACACGTGACTGCGTAGATGCGCGCGACGTACCAACTCAACACGGAGAAGCTCGAGTACAACTATCGCGTGCTTACAGAGAGAGACATGGAGAACTCGGCGACGTTGAACCAACAAAAGCGAAAGCTTAGCCGGCTCAAGGATGCACTCAGCGGGCTCATTCAGAAGTACACGCAGACAGACGCCCACCAGCGCCACCAAAACACAGAGCTCACGGAGGACTACCGCCGCATCACCAAACAATACAAGGACCTGCAGAAGAAGTTTCAGCATTTCGAGGACCACGACGGCCACAAGTACGACCAGGTGTGGGCCATGCACCACCAAGTCGCGATGGACCACGTGGAAAAGGTGCTCCAAGCCGACAAGATCATCCACGAGCAGCAGCTCGGCCTTGTGTGGGTACGTTCTTCCTACACTTTATATATAACGATTATTGAGGGTTCCTTGAAAATGACATTTTCCATTTTCGAATTGATCGCATCAATGGCACGAGCAGGTGCCACCCATAACCGATTTGCGGCATGTGGACGCGGGAGATATCAAGCTAGGGGGTGCATCTACGTCGGAAGATGACACGACCAACCCAGCATCGTCCTCGACAGAAGATGGCGGAGGAGCGTCCTCTTCGACTGGCGGAGCTGAAACCCGCAAGGTGTCGTCGACAAAGCTCAAGTGCATGCTCAAGCTACTGGCGTCGGAGGCGGGTTTCCTCGTGAATGCAAACGTCCTCCAGGCTATCGACACGATGGACGAGGACGAGGCAGAGCTCGTGCGCGCCGACTCGATATTAAGGAGCCTGGGTGTCGAGAGCGAAAGCGACATGGAACGCCTTCTCGGGTAGGTTAGCGGCGTCATCCCCTCATGATGGTCTATTTCGAGCCAAACGTTCTGCGATGGTGACATAGTTTCTTCTTTCATGACGCCAACGTCGTCGGCGGCGGCGGCGGCGGCGAGGACGACGACGAAGGCAAGCAAACACTGACCATGGGACTCAAAGTTCAACCCGACCAAGTGATTCAAACGATCAAGTTCTTTGTGGATGTACGTTGTCACCTTGTTACAAGCACATCATATAGTGTGACAGTGTAAAAATGTCTGGAATCACCCACATCGATTTCTCGATATAGGAACTGAACAAAGAGAAGCGGTTACATGGCAACCGACCCCGACGCGCCGTCAAGAAGCACGACGACAACAACGACGACGAGCATCATGGTCATCATCGTGCCGGCGGAAGAGGCCGGAAGGAGGACAAGTACTTTTGGGCGCGTGCCCAGCAGATCCTTCCCGACACCACCCAACGGTTCAAAGCACCGCATGACGTTGATAAGTGGCTGATATGTCTACACGTAGCGTGTGGTTGGCGCTGGAGAAGGGCCTGACCGAGTACAACACGGTGCTCAAGCAGCGCAAGGTGCTCATTGACGCCGTGTCCGCGTTGCAGATGCAGAACAGCGAGCTCAAGGCGCTGCTGCGGCAGTACCTCGGGTCGGCCGTGAACGACGAGCTGTTGATCCCCCCCACGCAAATGATCCGCGTCCAAGAGCCCAGGAGCTTGTAAACTAGATGATACGGAAGGTTGTTGGTTTATTTGAAATCGGCAATGGGGTTGGCGTGGATGGTGACGTTGCGCAACACGATGTCCTTGAGAGGTCGGAACTTCGCATCGACCTGCGCTTTCTCCATGGCATCCAACACATCGAACCCATCGATGACTCTAGTGGATGGAATAGTAAGCGCCCTCACATTTTGGATCACTGGTGGTATCAAATGAGAATACTCGATGTCGTACTTGCCAAACACCGTGTACACGTTGTTCAGGCGGGGTTGCTTGGCATACGTGATGAAGAACTGCTGCTTGTTCGTGTTCGGGCCGCTGTTTGCCATGGACACGATGCCTCGGACGTTGTGCTAGCATCTCATGGTCAGAAGTGTGGGTTGAAAGGATTGACAAGTGCGAACGTACTCGGTTCTGTGGATGGAATTCGTCGTCGATGGCACCGCCCCAAATGCTTTCGCCGCCTTTGCCCGTGCCTGTGGAATCCCCGCCTTGAATCATGAATCCTTTCATGTTTCTGTGAAATGTTGTGTTGTCGTAGCTGTTGGTCGCACACAACGCCAGGAAATTCTACACAACACCGATCAATCGACCAGGGGACAGGCTTTCTCATAGAAGGGCTACCGGTACCTCAGCAGCACGTGGGGCTGTGTCGCAGAACACCTCCATCTTGATATCCCCCAAGTTCGTATGCAAAGTCACGGACTATCATGCATGCGTCAACCTCGACCTGCACCTTCATGAGCGCGACCTACCATTGTTGTTTCGAAGTCAAAAATGAGCGGTGGTTTTTGTGCCCCGGGGTACATCACGACCAATTTCGATACAAAACGCAAGTCTACCAAGTAAACCCACGACAACACTAATGTTACGATGGCAAAATTGCATATAAAATATACGGACGACGACTTTTCAAGCTCCCAGGTTGTCCTGCTTATGGTCGTGTTGTTCCAGCATCACAACGACAGCAAAAGTTCGCACCTCGCTCTGCTCGTAACCACACATTCCTCCGGTCCCATGCAGTCCTCGCACTGCTTGTTATCATACTGGCTTTCCTCGTGCTTGACAGCTTGACATGAACATACCAGGTACTGTATTGTTACTTACTGTTGGATCGTGCACCCAAAGCGAAAGGTCGCGGCAGGTTGAAGGGTGGCTGTTGGCCAATCACAACGCTCGAATCCGGATTGGCACACTATCTTTCGGAACGAAAATCCACTGGCATCCATCCATCCACTGGCACAGCCGAACGCGACGCCAGTCCAGCATTGCCATGGGGTCGCTTCAGCGATTGTTTGGCGAATCGCATCTGGCAGCGTCCGTGGTCGTCCTTGTATTCGCTCGATGCATCGACCGCGTGCTCTACACGTGCGACCTTGTCTTCTTCGGGGGGTTGATTGTCGCTGACTTGCCCCTGTAGCCGCATTGCGTACGCGTATGGCCCGTTCCTGTGGTACTTTTCCAACATCATCATGCCCATTGCGTTTGTCGCGACGTCGTGGCCTGTGGTGTGGTACGTCGCCAACAGTAAAACCATCACGTGATGTTCCATTTGACTTGTGTAGGTACAAAATGCTCTTCACCAGTACGCGGTTTCCATGTTTGGTAATGGTAGTGTACTTATGTTGGTGTTCGTGTCACAGACGACATTACTCCTGAAATGCGTGCCTTCCCGCACCACAAGTATGCGATCATGGGTCTGCTTGACACCTTCTACAACCTCCTGTCGGCGTTGCCCACTCCCCATCTCGGGTACCATCGCATATTGCTATCCATACCTTCTCCTTCTGACAAGTCGACCCTTTTCGTCTTCTTCTTTCAGTGGAAACCTCTCCAACGTCCTGGACCAGCTCAACCTTCCGTTCAATATGGTGCTGTCCCTGATCTTCCTCAACACAAAGTACAAGCGATGCCACCTCTTGGGGGCAACCCTGGTGCTGTATGGAGGCTTTGTCAACATGTTGCCGCTGTTCACGGGCGCCTCCACACTCAACATGCCCGATCCGACCATTGGGTGGATTCTGCTGTTCATTTCGTCGCTGCTTCCTGCCGCCGCGTCCAACGGTAACTAACTTGCTTGTTGCATTCGACTTTGCCGTTTTTCGTTCATGATATTTGTTTTGGCGCAGTGTACAAGGAAATTGCCCTCAAGGACGTCAACTTGGACATTTGGTACTGCAACGCGTGGACCAGTTTGTACCAGGTGTTTCTCGGGCTCTTGACGATCTGGACCATTCGCGTACGTACTTGCACTTTGTGACCGAGTTTTCATGTCCCTGGTCATCGTTGCAGGTGCCTGCGCTGTGCGACCCGCCGATTGACTGGCAAGACTTTCCCGAGTTTATCGGGATTTCCCACCAGTGCTTTCTTGGCTACCCCGTCGAGTTCCAGGGGAAGACGCTTCCGTGCGACGAGGGCGTGTTCGAGCTGTTCATGTGGTTCATCTTGTTCAACATGATCTTCAGCCAAGTACGTTGTTTTCCAAGTGCATTCATTATACTAAGGTTCAACCTGACGAGTACTTTGGAAGTGGGTTTGCTCTCCGTATATGATTGACGAGTGTGCGTTGTGTAGCTGATGCTGTACATCTTCAAAGAAGGCAGTTCGGTGCTCTTCGTCGTGTCGTCGGCTGTCTGTCTGCCACTGACAGACATTCTGTACATGTTTCCGTTGCTCACTGGCGCCCAAGCGACTCAGACGTTTACCATCTACGACGGGTTTGCGCTCTTTGTGTTGGTGGTACACAACTCAACTGTTTTTGTCCAAGTCTTGTCAATCACCAATATGGCAATGTATTTTTTCTAGATTGGGCTGCTCGTGTATCACTCCGAGAAGGAGACCCGCGTGAGCAAAGGCGGCAGTCGGTCCGTGGAGAAGTCGCCCATGCTGACGTCGCCGTCGCTGCAGAGGACGCACCTCATGCGCAAATCCAAAGGTATCCCCCCTACCCCCCTTCCTTGCATGCAGGCAAGAAGACAGTCATCTGACGGCAGATGTAGGCAAAGTCGTGTACCACCAGAGCCCGCTGTTCCGAGGTCAAAGCCCCGGTCGCAGCTCGGACGGCCGTCCCCTTCTGCGCTCCAACTCACCTGCCAGACGAATGTACGGGACGTCGGCAGCCTTGCCGTCGCCACCACGATCCATGCGATCGAAGAAACCAGCCACCAAGGCGAGTACCGACGCTGTCGTTTAATGGTTTCCTTGCCAACCCTGGAGCTAGTTCGTCCAAGTGTGGTGCTAAATACAGTAGTACTAGTCATCATAGCAACCATGTAGCAACGATACGATGTAAGCTTAGTATTGTAATACAAGGCTACTTACGACATAGTTGTATACAGGTGCATTGCGAAACCCTCGAAGAATGAAGAAGCAAATGAACGCCTAAACGGAAATTTGGAAACGTAAAACAATAATGTGCATGTTAGTAGGTGATAAACTGCTAGACGATTTCGTTGGCCATGGACGTGCCGTACGAAGGCGGTGCGGCGCCGGGGCTGCGAGCGGTGAGCAGCGCTCGAGACGGGGAACTGCGATTGCGAAAGGTCACGGGGCTCTGGTGGTACAGCACCCGCCCTCGCTTGGCGCGCATCATTCGGGTCTTCTGAAGACTGGGAGACGAGAACATGGGCGACTTGTCCACTGCTTTGGTGCCACTCGCATCCAGTCGCTGTTCCTTTTCGGCATGGTACACGAGCATCCCCATCTAGAGCAACCAATCAAATCAAAAATCTCCACAATATCACAGAAGGAAGACTGCCTACCACAAGCACAAATATGGCAAACCCGTCGTGCAGCGTGAATGCTTGGGCGGCTTTAGTGCCTGTGAGCAACGGAAACATGTATAGAACGTCCGTGAGCGGCAGACAGATTGCCGACGACACGACGAAGAGCACCGAACTGCCTTCCTTGAAAATGTACAGCATCAGCTACAACCCCAAACACAGCACGATGATGTCAATTCTTTGTAGCGTAGGGATCGCATGCATGGTCATGAGATGCAGGCGTCAACCGAGGGGTACCTGATTGAAGGCCAAGTTGAACGCAAAAAAGATGAGCACTTGGGTGAAAATGCCTTGGTCGCACAGCAGCAGTTTGTCGTGAAAGGTCACACTATTACCCAGAAAACACTCGTGGGCGGCTATGGCGTACGTAGGGAAGTCGCGCAACACGACGGGGGGGTTGTTAAAGGCAGGGACCTTTAAACGAAACAGCATATCAATGATAATATACTTCCATGGCCAAATACTACAATCGTGACTTGGTGATGAACGTACTTGAATGGTCCACACGGTGGTGAGCCCCCACAGAATTTGGTAGGCGCTGACCCACGCATTCGTGTACCAAATGTCCAAGTCGACATCTTTCAGCCCGATTTCCTTGTACACTAACCCAAAAATTCACCATGAGTTTGCGCACTTAGAATAAGACGACGAGTCACCGTTGGAGCCGGCGGCAGGGATGAGCGCCATCAAGTAGAGCGAGATCCACCATATACTAGGGTCAGGGCTGTTTACAGTCGACCCCCCACCCTGCATGAGGGGGATCATATCAACGAGGCCGCCGTAAATGACCAAAATGGCGCCAAAGATATGCGTGCGCTTGTACTTTGTCTGGAGGAAGAAGAACGACATGATCATGTTGACCGGGAGCAGGAGTTGTCCCAGTACATTGGCCAAGTTGCCCCTAAACGAAAGTAAGAATGCTGCGGGTATTGCAGCTATAGGTCCGAGGGAACATGACAGCACCCGATGTGGGGCGTGGGGAAGGCAGCCATGAGGTTAAACAGCGAGTCTAAAAGGGCCATGAAGGCAAACTTGTACTTGGGGAAAGCTGCCATCGCGGGACTGATGTCTTCTGTCGATTGCCATCAAACGATGACGATGGTGGGGGGATTGAACAACGAACGTACTGGTAAAGTACATCTTGTACCACACCACGGGCCACGACGTGAGAGCAAACGCCACGGGGCAAATGACGTTGGAAAAGTACCACAGAAATGGCCCGTAGTCGTAGATGATACGCCTGCAGTGCGTTTAGCAATCACAAGGCAAACAAAGGGAACTGACGTGTACACAACGCGGTCGACGCATCGAGCCAAGATGAGCAGCACGAGCGCAATCATGAGCTTGGACTCGGCGAAGAAAGCCCGCCACGTCTTTGTCGTCATGATGAGAAAGCGAACAAGTGGCTGAAGTTGGTGGGGCCGACATCCTGACATTCGACTATCCGGATAATTCGTGGGGCGCAACTTCAACTCGAACTGGAAACATCGAGTGTGACGATCTTGTCCGGATATGACCTGGTTGAAGTGGCACTTCAATGATCACCACAAACGTTTTTGCCAATCTCATAAACTCTCCACCCACCCGTGGTGTCAAACGATGAGCCTCCTTCGGAATACAATGTACGGTAATAATACTTTATCGAGTACTAGTAATCGTTGGTAAAGAGCTAATGGTAGGATATTGATGAAATTCAAGTTGAGCTGAAGTATGGCTCAACTTCAATTTCACCTATAACACATGCAAAAAATTTTTTTTCTCTACTCTGTAAAACTTACCCACAGGACTAAGGACGTTGGTGGTTTATTTGACGTGCTATTTAATGCGTGGAAAATCCCCAACACATAAAGGTACGAAGTGAGATGAAACACATTACAGTGTTAACACTGTAAGTACCGAGGTATATGTACCCTTCCATTATGAATGCATGAAGTGGGTTTGGCATATTCAGTGTATTTGATTACTACCTAGTAATTGATTTGTTCTCGTATTTATAGCGTGGCATCCAAACGCTATAAATAAGTTGTTTATATGAACAGTACTAATCAGTCCAAACAAACATTCCACCTGATCACTGAACGTCATTCCAGCTTCACCGTCCAACATTCCAATCCACATGCATTCTCATGTCACATGTCATGTCGAGTGCATTTTCAAATTGGCAATGGGAAAGGCAGAATCCAAGAAGCAACCTGTGGTGACTCGAACGTGGGTCTTCAAGGAGTCCGAAGTACGCGGCCTCCGTGAATCCATTCCAAACGGCAAGGTGTTTGTGAGTTGCCACGACAGTAAGACCGTCGAAACGAACACCGGCACGACACTCGTGCAGGCAACTGGGCTCGCCGCGGACCTCGAGATGATCGAAGCGCATGTTCACTTGCATCGCTTGGGCGGACGGGTGCTGGATCTCAGCGTCGATGACAACCCAAAGCTGGAGGGACGGATCTTGATCGAAGTGTACGTAGACGAAGCGAACCCGCTCACGTCCGTGGAATCGACAGGCTCTAGCCGCGTGATACTGGAAGATGGCTCGTTGGCTCGCTCGTCGGTGACAATCCACAAAATTGGATCCGGTAGCGTATATGTCAATCTTCTGAACGACTTGGACATCGATGAACTCGTCGTTACTTTGACCGGATCTGGCACGATTGCGTGCATGGCTCCACAATTGACCATCACCAAGTCGCTCGTGTCGACGGTCCAAGGCAGCGGCGGCGTCCAATTCCTCGGTAACCACATCCGCGCCCCGTCCATCTCGACATCCATAACTGGCTCCGGCTCGACTCTCTTCGATGCCGCCAACCTCGTCGCATACAACGTCGTGTCGAGCATCGTGGGCTCCGGCACCATTCGTTATGCCCATGCTGGGTCCGTGGACCAACACCGGCAGTCCGTGTCTGGATCGGGGAAGGTCGTGAGCAACGCGCTCTTGGCCAACAGTGCGGCCGTGTCCATCTTCGGCAGCGGCACCATCGTCACGCAGGCCATGGAATCGCTGCATGGCGCGGTCGTCGGCTCGGGGTCCGTCGAGTACATTGAGCCCTCTCCCAAGCACATCCAAGTGACCACGTCATCCCGGGGCGAGCATGTCAAGTTGGCGGACCGTAAGCCATCGAAAGCCGCGACCCCGCCGACCGTTCCGACACGCGACGTCGAGGACGACGTGTTTTCGTTCAGCGGGTCGTTCCTTGGTTGGCTCAATGTGAAGTTCAATGCGTAGATCGTAGTTGACGAAGTGATCAAACCAAACCATTGAACCAGCATCCCTTACCTAGGTCGGATATATGATTTAAGTGTACCTGTGTACTATACATAGTTATTCTGGAACTCGAATTCGCTACCTCTTTCTAGTAATGATAGTGTATCGTCGATACACTAGTCAATCCCCAAACCCATGAACATGACCGCCGCGTTTTTTACACGACCTAATCGGTTCGCTATTCAGCTTGGTTACCTGTGACACGGTTTGAAATTTCAGCCATGGAGGACGGGTTATTCCACGAGGCCAACGCTGCGTGGATCAAGCAGTTCAAGTGCAAGGGGTGTCGAAACGATTCGTGGGGAGTGACCAACCAGTATCGCAACAGCCACGGCACAGTACCCCCCCGTGGCCTAGACCAACATGGTTGGCGTTGGCTGGTTTGAGTCCCCAAGTTTGCCGGGTGTTGCCGAGGCATCGTCCGGTCTCCGTGCCGTGGATGCAGGTCCAAGATGTTGACCAGGTTTATCGTCCCTGAGGATAGAGCTGCTGCCTGCGGACGCGACCGCCACGAGTGCGAAGCCTGCCACGACAATGGGCATTGCCCAATATTGTCCCAATGGCCAAACCAGATTAAGGACGAAATCGTCGGCATGATTAACGATTGCATTTTGCTATGTGTGTCGATATCTTTTGGGCTCGAAGACACTGTGAAGTGGTGGCGACAGTCAAGCATGGCGGCTCTACGGGCGCCGCAGGCGTGATGGTCGTCACAGTATCTCCCACCACAGCCACTTTAATGGCTCTACCATTAGCTGCGCCTCCCATCAGCCTACCGTTTTGCCTATCAAGTTCCACCGGCATTTTGTAGTCCTACACAGTACTGTACTACTAGTAGTACATGAACTAACGTTATCTAGAATTAGGATGGGGGCCCCTAGCGTTTCTTTTATATGAGGGGTCGAAGCCGGATGCTGCTTGGTCATCGAGATGAATCGTTCGACTCTATTGCACGACTACATAACGTTATAGCGAAAAGGTACCGCCATCACCTACCTTACTACATGTACACGCCATAACTATCTAGACAACACTATTACCCCCTGTACTACATACAACGACTACCACAACTAAAGTACATGTATTTCATCCGACCTGCAAAGCGTTTGATATATATATATATAACTACTCGTGTTGGATGATTCTTTTTGCTTGGGGATAAAATTAATTGAACTTCTTGTGGTCCACAAGACTCGATTGGCGTCGTCGACGATTCATGACCACGCCGACGACGACGACGACGACGACGGCGCCGAGGATGCACTGGACGAGTGTGGCGATGGCGTTCTCGAGCTCGAGCTGGCGGAAGCGCGTGACGCCCTCGACCGACTCGGAGAGGCGGTGGAGGACGTTGATGAGCGCGATCATCTCGTTGCGGTGGAGCGGCGCCATGTCCGCGACGTCGTCCGCGAGCAGGATCTTGATGGCGGTGCCGAGGCCGAGCACTTGGATCTTGCCCCAGAGGCGGCACTTTTCGCATGTGACGCAGTCCATGATGCGCGAAATGTTTTCAAACTTTTGCGTGAACTGGCGGCGCTGGCGCTCGACGTCGACGGGGTGGAGGAAGAGGTTGTTCACCATGGACTTGGAGAACAACATCGTCTCGTTGAATCCAAAGAGCACGGCGCGGCTGTCGGACGGCGCGCGGCAGCTCGCATTGTACCTACACACAAGTGTCATGAGAAGGAGGTAGGCGAAGAGTATAATGGCGTACGCTTGGTTGTCGACGTCAAAGAGCGACTTAAGGATCGTCGATGCCCGCGCGTCGTCGGCGGCGTTTCCCGTCTCGAAGTCGTAGTGAAGCAGCACGTCGCGATACCGCCCCACGGCACGGAGCACAAATAGGTATGTGAAGTACAGATTCTGCAGCCGGTCGGGGAACTTGCCGACCCGCTCGACGAACATGTCAGTGTTGAGGCCCCACCCGTTGCCGACGCGGAACTCGAGCGCAATGTGGGTGCTGATGGACGCCTGGAGGCCGGAGATGAGCCGGTAGAACACGCGCTCTTCGAGGCATAGCTCTTGGGACACGAAGCAGTTCTCGTCGTAGATGGCCTTCCACACGCGGGCGGCCGACAGCCCCGCGTAGCCCGTGAAACGCTCGGGGTTCTCCAGCAGGTTGATATACACCATGTTGTTGACGTTGTCGGCGTCTTTTTTGTCGACCCACGCCAAGAAGGACTGGCCCACGGCGGCGTTGGTGCGGTCGACCTTGGACAACTCGCCTTCGCCGGCTTGGTCGTCGCAAGGCCCGGAAGCGGCCTCTGTGAGATCGCGCTGCTCTTTCTCGGCTTGGTCCTGCGCATACCATTTGGACGGGATCTCGTCGGTAGGACACTCGCACACGGAGCAGTCGCGGTTCATGCACACGTTGTTCACGCTCCAGAAAGGACATTCGCGGTTCAAGTCCACTTTAAAGTACCGGAAGAACGACAACTTGCGCAGTTCATCTAGGAGTGGGTGGAAATGCTCGATGGTTGCCGTGTTCACCGTCTCGTAGTTGCAACACGAGTCGCCGACGCTGCCGGTCAGTTCGGGGGTGCGGCACACATGGCATTGCAGGTTGCGCACCACGTCTTGAGGGAGAAGTGCGCTGTATGTTCCACTTGTCACCGCGGCAACGGAAGCATACGATGCCATGGAGGTAGCGACGGCTCCGAAGACGACCGCCTGGGTTGCCGACATGATGCCCATGATGGCTTGGAATCGAAAGTGTGAAGCGCCACTTTTCACGCCCAAGTGCGCAAAAAACACGCAGAAATTCACGGCAGTATACAAATATCAAGTCAACTAGCTGACGTGGCGATTTCGACGGTTCCATTCGCTTTATTTTTTACTGAAGTACTACGTATTAATAGTACTACGTAGTAGTAGCATTTTTGTATGAACAATTTAATGTGTTTGCACCCCAAGTGCGTGCACTTTTGTAATTAATTTCAACCAATCGACTACCAGGACGTGGATGCTCGAACATTCTTACCAGTAACGACAGAAGTACCACGAATTAACGACGACAGCATTCCCAAGCACCATTGACAGGATGGACCTAACGACAGCATCCCCAAGCAACGATTGAACATACTTTAACGTTGGTTCTCGGCAAGATCACAATGGTACCGTTTGATTGTCAAAGTATATACTGTATTCATATTCATGCGTTTATCGGAGTCGCTCCAAAACACGACGCCAGTTTTTTGGTCGAGTAAACTGTCACGATCATCGTCTGAACTGTATATTACTGTACCAGTACATGTCAATCCAGCGCGGAAAGATAGTAGGACACCTGTCGCAGAATAAGGAATGCATGTATTATTGATAACGTTACAAACGATAGTAGAGTCAGTCCGTACTTGACCAACTGAAATGTTTAATTGAGTTTGGTTTATCATTTGTTTAAGATATTCCTCCGCGAGGGCCGATACTAGAACCACATATGTACTAGTAGTACAGTTGTAGTAGTACGCTGTCGCCAATTGTAACGCGCCTGGGCGGTGTGTAATCTTCGTTTTTTTCGAAGTTCGGTCCTCGCCTTCGTATACAGCACTTGTTATCCGGATACCTCAGGCGAGGGACGGATAATTCTTTGCCGAAATAATTCGGGGAAGCTGGGGATCGAACCGACGACCTTTTGAGTGTTAAGAAACCGATCTCTACCACTGAGCTATTTCTCCTCCCCTGACCAACTGAAATGGCCGAAACTTATTGCGATCGTCCAAGTTGGGCTACAGTGTTTGGGATATATTATTATTCCAAATCGAATCGTCCAACTTGATTTCATTGGCTAAAAGCGCTTGAGTAAAATAGCTAATTGTAAGGTAATGATGGATCAATTGTTGAAAAGGCACCAATTTGTTTTTTAGCCAATACCATCTCGATATTTCGTTATAGATCTGTATGGTTGGATAGGATAATGTTCGTCTCTACTAACGTTAGTATATTTATTTATTTTAACGTTTACAGTCTGTTCAGTTTTTTTCAATCTCAAACAAAAAATATTTAAATTGAAGGCCAACTAGAAACTCTTGAAGCTGTCCATACAGGCCTTCGAGAGCGTCACGGCAGTTATGCATAGCTACGTGATACGTGGAAGTACTCACTTTCGAGCCATCGCTACCATAGACGAAGAAGCAGCAGCAGCGTATCACTCCTCGCAACAAGTGGATGGCCTCTAATATGCCGCTAACGTTACACCATGTGCTGTGATCCACATCAGTGAAGTGACTGTAAAATGTGATTTCATTGTCTTTACGCAGACTAATTAAATTCATGAAACATTTTATTACCTGTTGCGAATTGCATGCAATTATATCTTTGATCAAATTATTTTGCATATTAATTTAAACGAATACGAACATCAAGATTTTTAAGAAGTGTCATGAATTGGTTCACCTCAAAAGCCGTGACCATAAAGCTCAAAACATTTAATTTCTATACAAATCTGAAATGTACTGTGGTCCAACCATGCTCAATGATACGTCAAAACAATGATGGCGTTTTATATTCTCAGTGGTGCTATCAGCATTAAAATAATCGTTGTCGTCCTTGAGCCAAGTAATTAGCCAAGTAATTAGAGGTATTTCGGGGTTTCGAAACCCGAACCGTGACCAAAACGTGACCAAAACGTGACCAAAAACAGTGTCAAGAATTGATGCATTAACGTAAACAGCCAATTTATTGCCACCGGAACAATTTTTGCCCTTTTCATTTTTCATCATCTAAATATTTAATTATATAGAAAACATAGCGATACCACAACAAAATCAGCTTTAAAAATGCGTGCTACTGTCTCCTCGCACTCTAGTTGCATACTGAAATCAAATCTAAAAGGGGCAAACCACTGGTTCTAACCTTCCTTTTGTACGCTAAACTTTGAATAGAATTCTGAGGCTCACTGCACCGGTATGATTGGTTCATGTTCAAAATACGATCCATGATTGGTGCATTTTCATACGACACCAATTGCACAAAAGTCATAAATACGTTATGAGGGTTTGAATGCTCTAGATGTTCGCCTGTGTCGAATACTAGTATTTGACTATTTCGATTGGTATTTAACCACCAGACGAATTTAAAATGAAACATGGGTCCATTGACGAGCCCCAATTTCGAAACAATTCCGGCCTTCCTGTGGTTTTTACGACATTCAGGTACCGTTGCTCCAATGTCGTCATTCCAATTGACTGTGAAGCAGTCTGAAAGAGATTAATTTGATTTTATACTACGTACTTGAATGCAACCCGCCCCTTTACGCCACCACAGTGTAACTGTACATTGCCGAAATATGCAAGGAATAAAACGCCATGGGTTTTTAGTGGCCAGTAATTTGACTTAAGTCGTTTTAGCCAATGAAAACAAGTTGGACGAATTGTAAAATACTACCGTATTTCACAAATGTCCAAGCTCGACAATCGTGGTAAATTTCGGTAATTGTTGGACGATTCTGAGAAATACCCTATCCCACAAACCAGGACGCACCCATCCTTGGTCTTGTGGTGAGATCGACGTACAGTGCCATGCAGAAACATATCGCTTAGTGGTATCAGGTTTGTTTCCTTCATACCCACACACTGTTTCTGCCTGAGCTTATGCGCTTCACAAAAGCCTTCGAACCCAAATATGACGTAAACGCGCCAACGCAAGTTGCATGCCAACAATAATGCTTAGTTCACGGCAACCAGTAAATAACAACCCTAACTAAATCATTTGTCCAATCTACGTAAAGCATGCCAAGAGGTCCAAGTCTTCGTTGGAGAGGTACTGATCCCCAGCGCTTTCAAGGGGGCGAAATGGAAGGGGGGCAAAGACAAAGTCGTCGAGTGGTGCGTCCACGACGGACACAGTTTGCATGTGTGCTACCATAGACGTCATGGACACAGGTGTGGAGGGCACGTCTTGAATCGTTGGGAATGCTTCCGCCATCGACGCGTTGATGAACAGCCCAGTGTCATTCTGGGGGGTGATCCTAGGGATGTCTCCATATAACAACTGCTCGTATGACGACGGCTGTGCAGACACCACTGACAAATACGCATCGAAGTCCACGGGATCGGGGACTGGAGTGCTGTGGCTACGGCGAAGCATGGGTGCCCCAGCCGAGGACCTTGCATTTTGATTCGGGGTGGACGAACTGCGCGAGATGACAGGGGCCATGCGCGAAGACGACGGAGGGGTGATTGGGGTAGCAGGGAAGGAATAATACTCGGGGGTCGTAGTGCGGCGTGGCGTTGGCACGATCTTCAAGCCGTACGTCTTTCGCTTGATAAGGAGCATCGCCGACGGGTCATCGCGGGTGAAGAGGGGTTGATAGTAGATGTTGCTGTGTTTGTTGGAGGATGCGCTGGGCGTTTGTACTTTGCGGAACCCAAAGTAGTTGAGCTGGCGCTGGAATGATGCAAACTTGCTGTGGCGAAAGTACGTGGGCAGCATGTGCTTTTCCATCGCGTCAAAGTTGTGCACGCCAAACGCTTTGCCCCCGTCGCACCAACCGATGACACGAGGGTCTTCTTTGGACAACATTTCGTACAAACTCGCGAGAAACGGCGGTGCCGCGGAGCTGATCATTGTCGGTGTTGGCGTTTTGCGGGGGGACGTGGTGAAGTACATGATGGAAACGTGATGAATTTGTAAGTGATCAAGTTCTATAAATGCCATGACTGGTTGCACATCGGTATGCGAATTTGGCACCAGAAAGATCGAGTAAGTAGAGTCTCCGCGCCAGGAGGCGACGTCTCACATATGGCAGTCCACAAGTTATCCAATTGAAAATAGCGCGTCCTTCAAATGCCTTTCTTGCCTGAAAGCTTGGGGAAGTACCAAGTCATTCACGGCGATCAAATTTAGTGGGGGATGTGAAGACATGATGACCCTTGCTCGACCTTGAGTTCAGCGGGAACTCATGAGGAGTTGTGGATAATATCGCTAGCGTTCACTGTAACGTTGAATCACCTTTGCGACTCGTACACATGTGGTACTACTATCGGTGTACTACAGTAGTACAGTGTATCCGCGAGCACTACTATTAATACGTAGGTACTAGTACTATTATAGTACTATTAATAGTACTTCGAAGTACTAGTAGTATTTATTAATACAGTTAATTGCATTTATTTGTGAGTGTCTACCGAGCTCATCGCCACACCGGTAGCGGTAGCGACTTGTACGCAATATGATTGCTTGTATGTAAGGTACGCCCGTGTGGTACCTACCACATACAAAGTACCAATACATTGTGGTGCTTTGGAGCATCTATTTGGAGGCTATGTATGGGGCACTCATTATAATTTACGGACATGAGCATGAACCGTCGCTTTCATCTCTTCTCCAAGTACAGCCAAACCGGCCAAACTTTGGTGCTCGTCACAGGTTTCTTAGGAGGAGAACTAACGGTGGGTGCAAAGTCCAGAAGAGATCCAGCAACCAAACTGGGTTGTACCCCAGATATACTCGACGCGAACTGCATATTGCCAAGACTAATACATAACGTTCAAACTCGCATGCTACAGTGTCCATGACCGACCAAATCTGCGCAGCAATGCTGCCCCGTCAGAAACACTAAACACGACATGTATGCTTTGCGTAGTGTCTACAGTTAAGTACAATGAAGCCCGTTGGTGATATCAATCAACCCACATCCGTAATTGCCTTTTGTGGCGGCACTTGTGGTAACGTTAACTAAGTTACAGTTGGTATCAACGTTGTAGGGGTATACCAGTAGATCGCGCGTGTCGCAGGGACTGGCTAATAGGTGCCTCAACCATGACGACTTGGGTGAGAATTGTAGTAAGCTTATCAAGGAATACTGTATTGTGACTTCACATGTCAAGCTAATTGTAAATTTGGTAGATTCGACGAACGACGTCAAATCTACCTCAAATCGTCGAGAAGTCGAACTAACTGTCACTCTGAATCCAGTCAGATACAATGTTGAACTTTGTGAAATGGCGAAGAATGGATGCAACGCGATACTACACCTGCAAATTGATTGGTCCGAAGGTTATTATCCGATAATTTCATTGGCTACTTCGGTTCTGGATTACTGCGTCGATTTTGCTTCGTCGATTCGATTACCTAGATAATCGAATAACCAATACTACTGTACAGTACAGTAGTACTACTGTAAGTACAGAGATTGTTAGGCAATGTTTGTGTTCGTTGTTACTGTACACGTAGATGCAGGCAGATAGATATGTCGACAATAATACACAGGGAAGCAACCTGACAAACAATTTGGATGCCGTAACTCCTGAGCCATGGAACAAAATAGCACGCACGTCATCGTGTTCAGTATCTTGCCATCCTTCCATGTGTCAGAAATCCAACCCCCCCCATGTGCTGATGCGACAAATGGTTTCGAGGTCTCAAACTGTCTTGACTGGATGAGAAATCTCTGCGTTATGCTAGTAGTACTTCGAAGTATGACTTTTGCAACCATTTCGCTGGAGTCGCTGCGCTACTTTCGCGTGACAATTGCCCTCGTCGTCAACCCCGCCCCCTACATCGTGTTGTGCGGCAACCGGAACAAGCCAAAAACACACATGGCCCCTCAGAGTGCTCAGTGAAACGTTGCATTGGTGTAAACACAACGCGGAGAATGTTATTCTTGCTCCAACCTCAATTTGGGGTTGCTCGACGACACGGCCCGACGGGCGATGATCTCTCTCCAGCCCAGGCGATGTCGGCACGCCATTCGTTCGGCAGCGACAAAATCATCGGACCATCGGACCGTTCAGCCTCATGGACAACTAAGGTCGACGATAAGTTCCCGTCTCTCGGTCGCATGACCTACATAACCGTGAAATCCATGTTGTAGTCGGCGTTTGACCAAATTATCCCGTTTTTATCAAGCGTAGGGTTGGTGTGTATTTCTGTCGCAGTGTCCAAGACCCTTCCTGGCCACACGATACTGTTCATGAAGCCGGGTTCCTCGGGCACGACCACCACCCCAACGGGCGCGGGCTACCTCTTTGAATGTCGATTGACCAAAAAGTAAGTATTTCGACGAGGCAGCAACCCCTCGTCGTTTCAATCTCGAAGCGAGTGGCTCAACATACGCCCATATGTTGGAGGGGTAAGCTCTATGTCACCTTCATGGATCTTCCGTTGAAAACGCTCCACGGCGCACTATTGCTCCAAGGATACCGACGAGTCATCCCCCTTGGGGTGCACCCTACTTTGACGGAATTCAGTTGGAAGTTCGCGGAATCGACATCGGCCATTCGACAAAGAAGGCGTTGGCGGGACCATCGGCCACGTCAGTCCTTGAGCTCCAAAGAATTTTTCACGATTGATGTCGCATGCACTGTTCCAGGTACCCGTACTGTAGCTACATACCGTATACCCCCCCGCTTCAGACTTATGATTTCTCCAGTTGGACCTGTACCGATATAGGCCAACGACGAACATTCTCATGGTCCGGTTGGGCGTGTATCTAGTTGCCTCTAATTGGACGGACATACATACCCACCCAATCACCAATGCATATAATCATTTCATCGAAATATAGGGTAATCGCCAATATGTGAGTATATCAGCAAGCCTTCGCCAAAATGTGAGCGTACTTAACAAAGATTATCGCACTTCTCAAATATTACATTGTAACAGTAAACCCAATCTTTGGACAAAACCACAAATTGTTGGAGCAAGATTGATTGGCACAGAATCTCTCAGTTACTCCATATCAAGTACTAGTATTCACTTTCAATTAAACAGCGCCACCATGAGCCTTGCTCTTGGAATGGAATTTCACTCAGACATAGCCTTCGTGGACTACGTTAAAGACTACTAGTACGCTCTAAGCGAGAACAAGCATGTTTGAGTGAGGTCTCAAGGTGGGAGCAATAGAGCGGTATTTTGGTCATCCATCCGGGAGCAATTCCCCGAGTGCGTGGGTAGCACACCCACTCAATTGGTCAAATGCCCCCTCACTCATGGAATTTGGTATTATTGACCTAAAACGCCCCTGAGTAAGGTGGGACTAATTGCTTGCTAACGATAAGTACAATCCTAGCATTAACGTGAAACACGAAGGCATACAACGTTGTACAACGTTAATCGTACCAACGGATCTCCAGAGATCGAAACCTCGAAACCTTGTTAAGTTTGGGGGATGATGCCAACAATATAGTGACTTAAAATCCCAGCTTTAATGATAATATGATTCAATGCTGTGAGATTTGTAGGTTGATTTGCTGTGTATTTGCGCTATGAATACATTATTGCACCCCCTCAAATGACAGTCTAGAATTCAATGTAGTCATGGGGGGGGGCAACTAGCATTCCATCAATCCCACATAACGTAACACCTCAAATTAGTACCGTCTAACTTAAATGCCGGATATTACTACCGTGTTCCCTTCACTTATAGAGGTAATATCTCCGTCACAACAAATATATTGTACCGTGTTCCCTTCACTTATAGAGGTAATATCTCCGTCACAACAAATATTTAAAAAAGCAAAAAATGATCAATTTACTGTTAGATTCACACACAGCAGATATGGCGCTAGCACATGTAAATCGTCGTTGTCACAATAAAACTGGTCACTTTCACACAAAACCAGTCGTCTTCACACAAAACTAGTGGTTATCACAATAATCTCGTCGTTATCACAACAATTCCGTCGTTAATACAGAACACGGGGCGTTGTTACAAACATGTCACGTTTAATAAAGACTTGTGAGTATGGATTTTTCCTGTCCCAATAGAGTCATAGACCAAGTCATGTTGGTGAGTTTGTTGACGATAGTAATAGCTGGTCTAAATAGAGGGTAGTGGCATAGCCTTGCTGCCATTCTACAAGACGCAGCGCATGAGTACAACGATTCAGCCCCAAGGCAATGTAATGGAAGCCTGGTGGACACAGTGTACTTCATGATACCAGTCGTCCTCAGTGAAGCCTTGCCAGTTTGCGGCGTAGGCTGAAATCCACCCCCCAGTCCACAAGTTGTCATTCTCAAGGTAACTAACATGTAAGTTAAATTTCAAAGTGTCAAATGTTTTATTTATACTTGTAAAGTACGATAATCTTTGTTAAGTGCGCTCACATTTTGGCGAAGGTTTGCTGATATTGGCGATTACCCACGAAATATAAGTCCCGTTTTGGATTTAGTGTTACAGTAGTCCAATGCACATGATATTGGCGATTACCCACGAAATATAAGTCCCGTTTTGGATTTAGTGTTACAGTAGTCCAATGCACATGCCTGAATAGTTTTCAAGGTACCGCTTGGAGCTGTACCAGTTTTGATCAAATTTCACTGACATTTTCATAGGTACATGGCATTTCAATCGCCCCAGATAAGCCAATCACGGATAAAATAGTTTGCGATTGGCTACAGTATTCCATTTAAAGGAATATTCAGCCAATCAAACAAGGGCTTGCTACTACTTCACTACAAATGTGATTATTTTATTTTGATAGAGTTGCACTGACCCGATTTGACTGCAAAGCACTGTACTAGTACTATTAATAGTACCTCAAAGGGCGTTATGTTTTTCTTGTAGTTTTCACCAACAAGTATACGCCGAGAAGTTTAAAGATGTGAAATCAATGAACGATTTGGTGCATTCGCAGTTCAAAACGAGGATCACTGCTGTTTGCATGACGAAGTTACGAGCGGTATCATCCTTGCGCATGGCTGTGTCTCTCGAGCCAAAACCACTGATTGATCATGTCCCATTGTTGTACAAATATTAATAACTACAGCAGCTCTAAGTCGCTTCCAAAGCCAGTAGCAAGGCCAAGTCTTCGCTTGATAAGGACCAGTCTTGCTGGTGACCGCCTTCAAATGGAATTGGCATGATGCTGTCCACTGACCGCTTGCTTTTGTCGTGCAGAAACCCGTGGGGGGGTTGATAGCTCATGGACGACACTGGAATCACGCGGTGGTTCTTTGGGCGATAAGTTTTTCGTTTGATGTTGGTCATGCGGGCAGGATCTTGCCGTACAAAGTGGGGCGAGTAGTAGTAGCTGGTGCTGTCCGCGTCGTTGATCTTTTGGCGTTTTCTGAAGCCAAAGTAGTTGAGTTGGCGTTGGAAGCTAGCCAGTTTGTTGTGGCGGAAGTACCGGGGTAGTATGCGCTTCACAAGGGTGTCGGTGTTGTGAACCCCGAAAGCATCTCCACCTTCGCACCACCCAATGATTCGTGGGTCTTCGTTGTTGAGGATGTCGTATAAGCTTACGAGGAAAGGGGGGACCATCGCGTGGAGCTTTGAAGGTGGGACCGCGTGTGTCGGTGAATTCGATGTGTACATTGCAACAATGTGAAATGGAAAATGACAAGCTACAAAATGCTGCTACAATTGGGGACAAAATTTGCTTCACCAGATACGTACAGTGCGCATGCGTGGACATGTTAGACGAGATATGGCAATAATGCGCCAGTTGTGCAAAGGGTTGTAGTGACCTGACTTGCTGATGTGTGCGAACGCCAGTGGAGATGCGAAGAACCACTCATAGCAGACCGGATATCATATGTCGCAATATTGTAGCTATGTGGTCAACTTTTGCATGTCATCAGACTTTATCAGACTGTATCAAATTTGTCACTACAGTTGGAAGTACTAGTACTGTCTGTACACATAACTAAACAATTTTTGGCAATGAGGCTATAAAATGAACACCGTTGGACGCTCCCATTAATGTCCATCATCAAGAAGGATTGAGCCTCGATGAGACTCAAGACCCCCCCCTACATTGGCAAACATGAAGGTCGGGTGACAAGAGGCATTTTGAGTGGAAATGGTTGCTAAATGCTCGATGATTGTGAGTTCCTTCCGCTCTAATGCAACAAGACTGGTAACATGACATAAGTTTACCCTAGTGACTAGCAAAGTCAAACAATGTCCCCCAAACAATGCTCGAGTGAGAATGTCTGGCTTCAACCTCCATGTCATTGCATTCTCTTACGTGGACCGATTCCAGAACTCGAACGTTGGCATGTTCACCATCTACTCGATCTCAGTTAACAGGACTGGCGTGAAGTCAAAAAGATCCAGTTTGGATGGAAGCTGTTCTCGATTGGGTTCTTGCTACGTTTGCATTTCATTGACAGGTTGCTGTTAACGTGCTATTATATGTAACCGCTACTACAGTAGTAAGACCTTAGTAATAGCGCTATTACAGTATGGCTTGCAGTTAAAAGTTAGTTATGTTTTCAAACTCCACATGGAGCATAATGTACTCCTCTAATGATCCTACAATCCAAGTATTACAATGTACACTCCCGGTTATTGACACGCGCCCACAGCGGGGATCGAACCAATGGCCACGTGTTGTTTATGTCGAATGTCTCTCCTGAGTACAATGATAACGTCAGTTCCAGTTTGAAATCAACATGCCCACATTTTCAAACCTACTTGTGGCGTCTTTTCCCTTGAGTTCAGAGTTCTTTGAAGCACAGCAAGTAGAAGAACACAGAAACGACCTCAGCAATTGGACTTGTGGCTGTCGTTGATCTTCTGTGCGATGTGAGTCAAGATTCAACATACGATTGCTGACCTTCCTGGGCCAAGCAGTGTTGAGGACGATCTTTACACTGTCCAGGCGACCGAATATGCCCAGATAGGACAAAAAGTTGCAGCGAACGTAGTACTACGTGGTACTATCTACTAGTATATACTAACGTTAGTAGGCAGACACCTTGTGTTTGATATCTCAAAAATGACATCGAAAATTGTAGCGTTATTGTATAGTACAGTATTTAGGGCACCTGAGGGTTCGAATTTCACAGAAATCGAACGTAGAGCTTTCGTACCTTCTGCCACAGCAGCTAACCAGACATATCAATTCAGCAGTAACTTGTGATAACGTTATCTTTGATGCAACTGAGGTACATACATATTACAGTAGTTTGGTAATGGGAGATGAGGGGGAAGCGAGACCATTGAAACCCATCAACTCAACCGGTAGAAATGCTAGCTTATTCAAAGCCACCTCCATGCGATAACTTTGCAAGGTATAACGTTAACGTTAGGGCGTCTTCTGGATGTCCCTTGCGATGTGACTTCTTGTAGGGACGACTCGATCAAATCCGACGTGGCAGTTCAGAAAATAGTGGTTGTGGTGTTCGGAGCGAATTACCGGGAAGGGAAATCTTATTTCAATTGCCCTTCAAGTATTCAGACTCATCACAGTTTCTCTTGCCTGAGGCCATTATGATTGGTCCTCACACATTTCCACATTTGAATCGGTAGATTCATCCCCCTCAACCACTCACTTTGACCACGTGACTGGAAGTCCAACATGCGAATTTCGTACCTAGATGTTCGTTTCTCATTGTGTTCCGAGCGCTTCAGAGAGCCTGTTGGGACGTGTGCTTGGAGGAGACGCGAACGTTCCTCCGCTATTATCGGAATATTTCTAGCACCTACTGGTATCAGCATTGCTTTCGTAACATTAATGTACTTGCAACCAACCTCCTGCCAACTATCCAGGTGGAGCGCTATACAGGGCTCTTGTAAAGTTCACAAAATTCCTACACGAAGTCAGCAGCACCGTCGGAAAAGGCTGCTTGTGCTGAACTGCTGATTGGCTTTTTATGTCACATATCGGCAAATTTGCTCACCAAGTTGTATTCGTTCAAAATACATTGATTGTGTTGCACCAACTATGGTATATACTACGACTGTACTTGAATTAACTATATTAGCTTGAACACAACCATCTCCCACACACTCCTTGACCGAAATATTCTGAAGGTCACAGTGGCACATGTATGTCGAGTCCTGAGTACACTAAGTATGTCGAGTCCTGAGTACTTACTGTACACTAACTGTAAGTACCACTTTGCACCGCAGTATGAGTGGTGCAGTCGACGAAATGCACGCCAGCTGGTAATTGCATGACTTGATCTAACTGCGCACTTACGCGACGACTCAAACCGCCGGAACGTTTGCATTTCCAAAACTCGGCATTTCCAAATTTACTTCCCAGTATTACCAACCACACGACCACGATGATTGCCACCTCGAGCAACCCCAGGCCGTCCATGTCTCCGTCGACTTCCAAAGTTCTGAACCACGCAACGCCGCCCTTCCTAGCGAGTTTGTTTGAAATCCTGTCCAAGGAAGACTCCAGCGTCATCGGGTGGTGCGACGCTGGCAGGTCCTTTGGCGTGTACGACTTCGAAGCGATGGAGAAGCACATTCTGCCCACATACTTTCGCCACAACAAGTTTGCGTCGTTCCAGCGCCAGCTCAACTACTTTGGGTTCCGCAAACTGCAAAAGTCCAACGGCACAGACCAAAGCAACGTGTACTGCCAGCCTCTCTTCAACCGCGACGACCCGTCGGCCATGCTGCGCATCAAGCGCAAGACGTACCGCCTCAAGTCATCGCCCGGGCCCATGTCCCCTCGCGACGGGTTCCCGTACTCGCCATCCCGCAACTCCGCTGCTTTCGCCCCATATCCGGCCACGGACGTGCCGTACCACCCGTTCGTGGACATGTGTGCTACCCCGTTGCTGTTCCACGGTGACGCCACGTCATGCGGACACAATTCGTCGTTCACGTCGTTGTTGTTTGGGAACATGCCATCGGGTAGTGAGGCTATTGACGTTGGTTCGTTTCAACCGATTCCGTTCCACTGCCTCCCTCAAGATTCGTGGACGCTGCCCGACGAAGACTTGACACTGCTCTCGACCCTTGCCATGCCCATCGTTGTTGTATAACGCGAACTCGTCGACGATAGAACTAGGAACTTATTTATATTGCAATGTTACGTGAGCAATCTCCCGTCCAAATCATGACGCCACATTTGTTTTGCAGCCCCGAGTGGATTATGAATCACATACATGTACAGGCCATTGGTGTGATTGATTACAGTACTGCTGCTGCCATTGCGGTATTCATGCTTTTATATTTGTGGCTGGGCGGATTTCCAATTACTGTAAAACTGGCTACTACGTACAGTAGTTACATTTACAGTTCGTCTAGGAATTTGTGGCAGTTACATTTAGTCTAGGAATTTGTAGCGAGTAAACCAATAGAACATTCAAGATGTACTGTGAGTCCAACCTTCGTTGCGCCGCCATGTGTGGGATGGCGCTTTTGACTCTCCATGACATCGCTTGACATCTGAATTCAGATTGCGATCGCACCGTACTAACGTTCACGTTACTACTCAGTATTTAAAACCTTGGTTTCCTGCTCCAAGGTCATTTCGACATAGGCGCAATTTCAAATCTTGAGTGGCTGAGGTGCCAACTTTTTTGCGACTTTCTCGCTGGCCTCGTTTGAGATGCTTCCAATGTGAATTGTTAACTTGCACTTTAGTAGTACATTTTCCTACGGAACAATAAACAAGTTGAGTTTTTCGTTTCTCATGACCGCATCATAACATTCCACGCTCGGTTTATACTTTTAACGCCAAAGTATTCATACATGTATCCCTACGTCCTACATTGTATTGTCGTTGTGACTACTACTACGTAGTGCACGCAAATGCGGGAACGTCTTCAACACTGCAGTTGGTCGAGCTCAAATAAAAGTTCGCTTGAAGCAAATTTTTAGCCACCTCCGACGGGCATTCGATTTGGGGGTAGTGTTTCACGTTGGGGTACATCACGACAGCCTTTTGTGCGCTTCGAATGGCGCCATGGATGAATTCGGCCTCCGCATGCGGGGAGCTGAAGTCCGGATCTGTAGACCCCATGCCAATGATCATGGGCAACGTATAGTCCTTCAAGTGGTCTCCGGTGTTGGATTTGGATGCTCGAACTAGCCCTAGCAAGGCCTTCAACCGCCCAGATTCCTTCATATTGGCTCGTAGTACGCCTCGTTTTCCGAGGCATCGGGACTGGGGGTGGTGAACAACGTCTTCCAGTACGACATCCCCATGGACACCCCGTACGGCCGAAAAATCGTGGCAGGCGGTAGAAAATTGAAGACTTTTTTGTTCCCCACGCCTGGTTGATCTCAGGCAAATGGTCCGAGGACCATGGAGCCCATGACGTTGGGAGCCTGAAGCAGAACGATGCAAGCCGCCGAGAAACTGCTGCCGATCACGCCACCGGACTCGCGATCGATTCGACGAGGGCATCAATGTCCTCGGTACAGCTCTCCACAGAATAACTCGAATATCTAGAAGACGAGTCGCCCATTCCTCGTAGATCCACCATGTACGCGGTGTGGCCGGCTTGGGCTAGCAAAGGAGCGAGGAATCGATAAGTGTATCGGATTTCACCCAGGTCAGCCACACAGACAAAGGTGCGGGAGGCGGATGTAGACGCGACTGATGGGTCGAGCTTCGAGTACGCGATGTGTTGTCCGGTGCTACGAGCGAATTTCGTGAAAGGGAGTTGGTGGAATGCTGCCATGACTGTGAGTGAAGTCAAGTTTGATAATAATATGACATGTTGCCGACTTTGGCTTTGTTTGATCACGATGATAAGTACTGTAACTGTCGCAATAAAACATTACCGTATAGTTCACGCGAAAGAGAGCTATTTTTAGCCTCGTGAGAGCATCTCCACCGCATGACGAATTCGTCAAATACACTCACTCAGGGAATTTTAGAGCATCTCCAACGCATCCCCAAATATCGATGTCCCTATCCGCAAAACGTCCCTGAGTAAGTGGGTGGGACTACTTGTATGCTACGATAAGTACAATCCTAGCCTTAACGTTCAACACCGTTACGAAGTCGTACAACTTTGTCGGAGTACTACAGTGCCGGTAATGTAAGTCTAGATCCAAGCCGATAGTAAGTTATTGCAGCTGCACTCATGTCCTGTAGCTTGCTACAACAATTGCGTAGCTGTCTAGCTACTGTAGTCACCTCATTTGCTAAATCCTACTCCGGAGTACTGTACACAGACGTATTTTTCTAAATCGTGAAAAAAAATGAGGTAAATCGATTTTGATTGGCTCATGCTATTTCTGAAATCTACTTGGAACCCCCCTAAGAGCATCTGCACCGGTATAAATATTGTTCACTCGAATCTGGGTGTTTGTTACATCGACCCCAGTGTTTTAGACAATCAGTACCGTGATTTACAGCTAGGATGCCACGTTTCGTTACAGAAGGTAGTTATATGAGGTCGTTCATGCAGCTCCCTCGCTTGTGCTTTGCACTCGTTTTGGCGTCGGGTTTAGAGCATCTCCACCGCGCAGAGCTAAAAACTATCTAACTAGTTATTTTGTTAACAGAAACTGTAAAACTTCGTTTTTCCGGATAATTATAACTTTTTCTGAATGGTAACCGGCAAAAAGCCGGAATAAAATCTATTTTCCGGATAAAAATCTATTCATCCGGAAGTTCGAGCTTTAAAAATAGGTAGCTTTTAGCTCTACGTGCTGAAGATGCTCTCAAGGACCTCTTTTTCTATTTTTGGTATAGCGAGTAAGGTAAAAAATCGCAGAAAAAGAGGTAAAAATGTAGGAAACTAGTACTTGGAACTACTTTTTCATTTGCAAAAAATATTTACTTGGAACAGGCCCTAAGAGCCTGTTCGGGGAAAATACCGACGAAAAACATGATGGAACGCAATCTGATTGGTGGATTGAAACTGCAATTACCGAGACGCAACCGGAATCCAGATGTGTCTTGGTTGAATTTCGTCTGGGTTTTACGATATCGAACAGAGACCCCCCGTGTCGGTTTTTGGTCACCATGGCCAACCACGACGCATGCGGATTCCGGATACAAGGCACTCACAATTCAATTGACGGGATGAGTCGCAAAGCGAGTCAACGCGGAGATGAACCTGTGGTGGGGTCTAATACTGACCGGTAAAGGTGATATTCAAAATGTTTGTGATGTTCTCAATGCAATAGAAGGTAACCTTATGGTCCTAGGCAACAACAACGGAACCAGTGGTGCGATCAAGCGCCCAAAGCTCGGCCGCCACCCTGCTGCAGTAAGCGGGAAGACAGCAGCCAAGTGGTCTGACGACTCGGTGACCTGTATGTTTCGACTCCGGACTCCGGTTTGTGAAACTGACCCACAAGTTTGAAAACGTCAAGAACAATCAAATGCGCCGCGATGCGTATGAATTACTTGCTGCCGAACTCTCCGTGGAGGTGGATCAAGTATTAAGCGCAGAACAAGTTCAAAACAAGGTACAACATAGTTTATATGTATATTCTACATATTATTGGATCATCTGGATATATATATTTATTTTCTATTATTGTTGTAGCTACACGAGGTGAAGAAAAAGTGGTTTAATCCAAAGGTCATGGCGACTGGCAATGGTTCGGCTGTCCGTACGAAGCCCCAGTACTTCGACATTATGTTTGAGTATTGGGGTACCAAACTTGGTTACTCACACTCGTCGCTGTTGTCGTCCGACCCTGACGTTGATGTCGACGGCGAGGTTTCCACTCTGAGCTTAGACGTCGGTAGTGATTCGGACAGTGTCCGGGTGCAGACTCCGACATCGTCCCCCCGGAGACGAGAAATGCAAAGCCATCAACTGTGGTGCCCACGAACATCGAGAAGGAGCTATTCTCTGTGAAAAAGTATTTACATTCATCAATATTGTTATACCGTTCTGATGTATGTACTTAGGTCGTCAAAATCTCACACGAATCAACCGTCCCACGCTACAGCCCTGCTTCAAGGCCTTCAAGCAGTTGGCAATGGGCTTGAAAGCATCGGGTCGTCGTTTGGAAAACAACCTGCCGACGGTGACATGAGCAACAAGATATTGTTAGCAATCGAAAAACAAACTGAGGCGATGGCAAAGCAATCCGATCAAATCACTCAGTTGCTCCAATACATCCTTCGCCGTGAATCCAATGTAGCTGAATCTCAACAATAAAGCATTTTGATGTTATTCATTAGTCATTTTGAAAAATGTTTGGGCAATTCTATCTCGCTTGAATCTACCAACGGATCGCAGGACACTTGATGTTTCTACTGGTGTTCGTCCGTGCACATAAGGTTTTGGTTGACAATAAATGTTGCGGTCACGTACACTGTCTGGTTCGTTGAACAATGGGTCGTGAAGTCGAAGTAATGTATTGTGTAGCACCATGCACGCCATGACATTGCGGGAGGTCTGCGTGATTGATTTCTCACTCATCGGAATCTTGAGCATGCGGAACCGTTCTTTAAGCCGGCCAAATGCGCATTCAACAACCATTCGCGTAC